CCTTTCACCCCTCAGCCCCTGCTCCCAGCACGGGGAGCACGGTCCAGCAGAGCCAGCTCCTCTCCAGCACAAAGGGGGCTTCCTCAATATTTTATTAGAACAGCTGAGAAGATTTTCCTTCAACAAACTGTTTTGCTGAATAACTTTTCTGACCTGCTCCAGTCAGGAACAGGCTCTACTAATTTGTAGCTAACAAGTTATCAGCTTGCTTTTTTTTTTTTTTTTTTGTACTGTCCAGTTTTTCAGTAGTCTGTGTGGCATCTTGGGGGAAAGTAGCATGAATCCATGTGTGTAAAAAGCATCTCATTATTTATCCGCATAAAAGGGTCTCATTGAAGGCTGCTTGCTGGCCAGTAGCTGTCTTTGCAACCATTCTTTAAATACAGTTTTTGGAGTGTAATGTAAGCATATTTTTCAGATGCAAGGTCAGTATAATGTTTTTAGTGTGGTGGGGTTTTTTTTGGTTTGTGTTTTTTTTTTTTTTTAAAGGATAATTCATGAGATGCAACCTTTTATGTAGGTGTAAGCTGCCAGGTGTGTTAAATGCTAAAACTGTAAAGATTAAGCATTTATTATCAAGGCACTTAGTTGTCTACTTTCTACTTCTTTTGCCTTCTTATTAAATTGCATCTTAGATATCAGAAAATATTATACCTGTTTTTAATTTTATAAAATGTATAATGTAGTGAGATAAATGTAGTGGATTATACCAAACTATCTCCTTCTGTACTTAATGTGATATCTTCATAGTATTGACTGTACATAATATTTGGGTTTTTCTGAGTAGCAGCGTAGGGTTGCAGAACCCTGCTTTAGCAGTTGATTTAGTCAATCCCTTCAGCCTGGCAATGAGCAATCTGCCAAGTCCTGAGGGTAAGCCTCGCCTGCCTCCTCAGGATTTATCTACACCAGGACCCAACCATTTCACTCCAGTCAGCAACGACGTTCTTCAGATGCCTACCAGTCATAGCCAGAAGATTGACATGAAGGAACCAGTCAGTGAGGTCACACAGCAGGAGGAGGTTTGTTCCAGGGAGATAAGTCTTAGGTCTCTGGTGAAGTTTTAGTGCTACTAAAGGAATTCAGTTCAGCTAGCAAAGCAATTGAAAAGGCAACAGATCCTGATCTGCCTACTCATGGTATAAATATGTTGGTCTTTTAAGTTCAGTTAGGAGTACCTGTGTTGAGTAGCAGGATCTAGCTCTTAGGCTATCTATGACTGCATTGCAAAAAATATCAAATGCAAGTAGACGGTGTAGACCAAATAACTGCTACTTGCGTAGGAACTAAAGAAGTTCTTGCATATTTTTAGTATTTACCTTGGACTACTTTGATGACAAAAGGTGCAGTCTGGTGGTGGTCTAAATGACATAGCATTTACTATGCTACGTATAAATCCATTTATTATGGCTACTGCATTTACTATGCTACATATAAATGCATTTACTATGGCTACTGTGTAGCCAAACAAGTAGGAATATAGAAGCCTGAATCTGAGCTGTTTCTGAGAGTATTGCCATATAAATGCTGTGTTTTTACAAATGTTAACCTGGGCTATACAGTTGAATCCATTGTATTATTGTCTACTGAAGTTCATTGTATATTTTGAGCAGAGCTGTGGGAACTAGATTTTTTAATTTTAGTTTTGGCTTTTTCACAGCTTTTAATGGGACTTTTCACTTGTATTCAAAATTAGTAATGTATATTTCAGAGGTGCCGTGAGACTTCAATTCCATGTTTGTGCAAGACTTTATTTTTCTTCGCTAAGAGGTGCTATCTATAAGTGCAAAATATTTGTGCTGTATGTACTTTGTATTAGCTTGTGGTACAACCTGTTTTCTTTTTACTTTGGTTTGTTTCTTAATATTGCAGGATTAGTTTTTTCCTTTTATTTTTTTCCCTCAAGTTCAGAGGCTGTTTTGTGTATTTTATGCCATCTTTTGGATGCCTGCTGGGTCAGTGTTAAGGTGCTAAAGTATTAATTTTGGTCTCAGTAGTGTGTAGGACCAAATGTAAACAGTGCAATCTTCTCTTGCTTTTTAATATTTGAGCTAATCAGACTTGAACTGGTAACAGAAGTCTTTGTTCAGATTGCTGTAAATATAAATTTCATTGAACTATATTAATAGCCAGATTGTTTCAGTTTTAAGCTGTGGATGATTTTTCTCTAGGTAAGTAAAATTCTCAAGTCGTTCTTAATATTTGTAGAATGATATAGATGCAAGCAAACCTGCCCCAGTACTGAATACATCTAAGCAGGATGGACCGATGCCAAAACCACATAGTGTTTCACTTAATGATACTGAAACAAGGAAGCTAGTGGAGGAGTGCAAAAGACTTCAAGCAGAGATTATGAAGCTGACGGATGAAAATCGGCACCTGAGAGTAAGTTCTGCTTCCATGCTTATATTGAAATGGCTTCACTCTTTTTGATTGAAAGGTCTGGTTTATAATTAGGACAATAGGTGTGTATTCCAGAAAGTAAATGCAACTATTAGAATGTCAAGATTGATTTGCAATACAATTTTACTGTCCTTTATATACTGTATATTTTGAACTTCTCAGTGATTGAGACTGTGTGATTGTCATGGAAGAGAAACTGAAGCTACATAATTTTCTTCTTAAATGTAATGGTCCTGTTTAAGGTGGCCTTAGTTGCTTTAAGTCTAAATCAGAGGTACCAAATTAGTAGCTTTTAATAAAAGTGCATTATTATTCATTAAGAATGAGTAAAGGAGATCCAAAGTGATAACACTGTATCACAAATTGTTAGTGAAGCAAGAGTTAAGCAAGCACTAATCTCCATTTATGTACCATTTTAGTTATCTGTAACTAGTCAATACATCACTATGCGGCTTTTCTATGTATTTGGTTTTGGTTATGTGACAATTCCATTGGCTGTGGTAGCCTTTTAAAGAACCATGAAATAATGATGTCTCCATACCTGTAGTTCTGAGGACATTGGAACATTTGGAGAAACACTACAGAAAGCATATGTTTCTCCTGCACAATAAAGAATTACTGTTTTTTAATTCTGACACATAGTAAGTGAAAGCAGAATTCTTTCTTGTACCTAGCAAGATTTTGAGAATCTTTCTTAACCAGAGCATGGAAAGAGATTAGTGGATTACCTGTCCTTATTTGAAATATTATGGCTTGCTATGTTCATAGTTTGGATTTTGGTGTGGTGTAATGTTGTGTTTGTTTTTTTTTAAACTTTATTTAAATGTTCACCGGTAAATTTGGCCTTTGAGTTCAGTTTCTACAATTGTAAAGAAGATGTGTTCATAATTTTTTTTCCCCGTCTGTGTGTTTTTCCCCCTCAGGATGAAGGCTTGAGGCTCAGAAAGGTAGCGCACTCGGATAAATCTGGATCACCCACAGCTTTGGCCCTCAGAGATAATGGCTCTAATTCTCTTCCTTCACTTCTTGTTGTAATTGCAGCCATTTTCATTGGATTCTTTCTAGGGAAGTTCATCTTGTAGAAAGAATGAGTGAGAGAAGCATGCAAAATGCAGCTTCCTTTTTTTTTTTTTTTTTTTTTTTTTTTCTTGGCCAGAAAAAGATTTGTTTACCTACCACTTCATTGGTAGTATGGCCCAAGTGGCCATTTTTGTGTACAGCATCATAACAGGCTTTGCCTTTAATGATCTCGCACGGTTAGAAAACACAATCTGAAAAGAAACTGTTCGGCTACTGGACAAAATTGTACATTAAGTCATCTATAGCAGGTGTCAGTTGCACAGTCAGTCCTTTATGAAAATTCATAAATAAAGAATTGTTCTTTCTTTCTGTGGTTTTAATAAGAATTCAAAAATTGTTCAGAGTCTTGTAAATGTTATTTTAATAATCCTTTAAAATTTTATCTGTTGCTGTTACCTCTTGAAAAATGATTTATTAGATTGCTAATCCCACTCATTCAGGAATATGACAAGAGGTATTCTGGGGGAAATGGTGCCTCTTACTGTGTAAATTTTCTCCTTACCTTACTTTGCTAATATCATGGCAGAATTTCTTTCTTATCCCTTGTGAGGCATTGTTGAGAGTTCTTCATCCTTACAATCCTGTCCCATAATATTTAACATTACAAAAGAAATAAAATTGTTAACAGATTTTTCTGCTGGGTAGCCTGTTTGTGTGTGTCGTACTTTTAGAAGGGATTTCTAACAAGTTCATTGTTCATGGTAATTTGCTACTTGTAACAAATGGCTATTTTGAAGTTTATTTGCTTAAGTCTCTGGCTTAGACTGTTGTAATTGAAGCTTGGGGTTAAAAAAAAAAAAAAGGGGTTCCATTCCATTTGTTTAAAAAGTTGAACTGTTTCCTGGCTGCTTTCAGCTACAGAGAGGATGGTTATCAAACTTGTTTTGGGACAGAATATTTTGGATATCCAGCAGGTACAAATATCAGACATGAATGTTTTCAATATATTAACAATTTGCTTGGATTGTGCGGGAGTGTAATAATCAACCTTCTGTTCCATCTTTGGATCTTCTGGGTGTCTTCCAGGAGTCAACATTATTATTTGATTTCATAAGGGTATTTAATTCACATACACTAATTTACTCAGTTTGTAATTCTGTTTTAGCAGATATTCAAAAATGCAATTTGGATGATTCAGGCACCCATAGTGAATTCCATGATGCAGAAGAGTTGATATTTGCTGACTGAGCCTCCGTTGCTCACCTTTTGAAAACAAAAATCATTTTTATGCAACTCTTGCCAGATCTACCTGTGTTAACCATGTATAGCTAAGTTCTAAAGAATGCATTTTTTGGGGTCTGAAATGCTTCCCTGCACTTAATCTTATGTCTTGCCTCATCTCTGAATATGTCATGAAAACAAACAGTAGTATTGGAACAAAATATTATCTGTACATCTGACTAAGCATAATCCCATACAGGGAATTACATGTAAACTGAAAAATTGCAGAAGGGATATACTCCTGTAAGCAAAATTGTGTATACTCTTGGACAGCTTGACTTGATGTGGTGCAGCTAAGTGTGTTTAGACCTTGGTATATGCACATCTTATGTAGCTGAGAAAAATGTTCTGGAGAAGATGTATGTTATCTTGGTTGCCTTTGATTTCTAGTGCTTTTTTTTTTAAAAAGAAAACTATAATTACATCATGTTCTGTCATTGCTCTCTGTGATAAACTTTTTTATAAAATCTTGCATATGTGCAAGGAAGATGATGAAGAAAATGCAAATACTGCTTATCTTTTCACTTAAGCATGCAAGCACAGATGTTTCCAATTACTTGTTCCAGTGTCTGCATTCAACTCTCCTTACATCCCAGTGACTGGAAAAACTATGTTAAAGTCTTGATTATTTTGGTTCCGCTGGTTCAGAATGGTGTAATTCTCCTGATTTTTTTTTTTTTTTTTTTTTTTTCTCTAACAGAACATTGCCACATCAAACTTTCATAGTCTGTTCCAAACTGATTATGTGGAAAATAATGAAAGCAATAGTGTGCAGGATGTAGTTTGCTTCAGACAGAGCCGTCATTCCTGCGTTGAAGGGAAAATATAATTCCTCTGGAAGAACTTAAAATGTTTACAGCATAGTGTACGGAGATTACCAAGGTTAGCTAGCACTTTCAGGCCTTGATAGCGGAAAAAGGAGCCATTGCTCAATGCAGCTGACTCAGGTTTTGATGTCTGGCAGCAGAAATGAGGTAAAAATAACAATAAAATCAGATTGAAACAACTTTTTTAATATATAACAGACAGGTGGTGGTAAAACTTGGTCATGGTTTAAATAATGTCTTCAAAGTGAAAGTGTGCAGCGGTCTCATAACCAGTGTACTTACTAATGGTATAAGGAGACTGTCTTGGTTTCCAGTAATCCCTTCCTAGCTGTATATAAAATGTAACGCTAAAACTATTTTGCTCTCAGGAGTCACTTTGGATGAGATCAACTGTATTCAGTGAATTATGTAATATGGATTAAATTGTTTGTCTTTGTTCCTGAAATGGTTAGAACTTCTTGCTTTGTCTGCCTGCTTACGTGTGTATGTAAGCACGGGGAAATACAGTCTCTCCACTGCTCCTAGTGATACAATCAGACAATGATGCCCATAACGTCATGTGAGGCTAAATGTGTAAATATGCATTGCAGGTTGCTCTTCTGATCTCTCAAAAGGGCAAAATGGAACAAGTATACCGTATCAAAGGAGTATTTTACAGTTTTTATGAATATAGCACTTTAAAAAAGGGTAGTATGATGGTTCAAGGGGATAAAAATGCCTAGTTAAATAGAAGATATAGCTTCTGCAGTAATTCTGGGCACCAAATTTAAGCCACTTGAAAAAAATTATGTATGAAGTTCATTTAAGAAACAAGTTGTTTGTATCAATGCACAAGATATTTGTGCACTTCTGCTCATTCTTTTAAAAGCTGTTGACAAACACTGTTGCCCAGGCTTGCATGTTTCTGCTGCTATGATTGAAGCCAATTTACACATAAGAAGCAACCAAACACTAGCTTGAAACTTCATTATCCTCTTGGGAGGAGAGAGGGTGGAGGGAGGAGGTGGAAGGTGACATTTTTCTAAAGGGGAAAAGACAAAGTCAATAAGCAAAACTTATCTTTCAGGCCTTCTTCAAAGATATTAAAAGTTGAAGTGTTAATAAACCATTAAAAACGTGGCAGTGTCCTTTTTATTTTGGAACTTCTCCATTCTTCTGTGTTCTGTAGACTCCTGATAGTGAATAGATGTATCTAGTCCACCTTGCAGGTGGTGTAACTGCTCTGCTTCTAGGTGCTGCTGGTAAATAGCATGAAGCTGGCAAGGCTGAAAATTCAGTGTTGAAATGAAGAGCAGGTGCCTGAATCCAGGCACCGCTGAGGATGCTGGTGGTTTGTCAGACTCTTAATAGTCATCATGACAAAGAGTTTTCTTTTTCCTGTTTGATGTCCATAGGTATATATGCTTGAACTGACTTGCCACGGGAATCGCTTGCTTCAGTCTGTGGCAAAAGATGGAATGAGAGCTACAAGAGAGCAACCCTAATAAACGTTTACTATGGTATCAAAGTGCCCTGCTCTTCATGTTTACAGGTGGGATGAAGTTCTGTAGCTCGTCTTTTTGGCCACGTTACTGTGAACATAAGTTTACCCTTTTGCTTTCTACGCTGGTTCCTGTTGAATGGCTTTGTGGGATGTCTCCTGGAAGGCACATCTGCGTGTAGCACTGACCACTGCTGCCAGGGAGGCTCTGTCTTTGCTGATCTTGAGCTTCTGTGACAGCTTTAGTGTGGTGTCACACTCATGTTGGGACAAGAGGGGAGGCTCAATGCAGGAGTCAGTTTTTGCAAGGGTTTGAGCTCCTGTAGGAAGGACTGAAACTAATGATGGTTAAATGAGACCGATTTCTTTATTCCCTGTCTGAACCTCTTTTCCAGGGGCGCTCCAGTGATGTGACCAAGCCTATGATTGAAGTGCGTCTGCTGTGTTTTTCTTTTTGAATGCAGGTTGCATATGTTTAAGAAAAATTTCTGATTCTGATAGGGCTGCGTAAGCAGAGGTAGCGATGGTGTTGTCACCTTTATGTATTTGCCCTCTAGGTGACAAATAGCTATGTAGAAACGCAGTCTTGGGTGAAATATACTTTGTAGGGGATGAAACATTTTGTTTTTAATTGAATTATGGTGTAAGCATCGCCCAGCATGTTACAGTGCCATTTTATTTAAAGCTTGGTACCAGTTTATGTAATGTTGATAACACTGCCAGCAGGGTATTGAATCCCTGTTTACACAGTAGCTACTTGTGTTGCTGGCAGAGGTGGAATGCTGCTCTTCCCCTCCTCCTGCTTTAGAAGAGATTTAAAGGGTGTTACGGTATCCAGGCACAGAGGCGTGAGACAGACAGCTATTGTAGCTAAGCAGTCTGAGCTCAGACACTTGAAATAAATGAAAAATTAATTGGAAGGTGGCTAAAAGTTATTAAGTCTTATTACGTCTTACCTTTTAAACTTGTGTGCAAGAAAAAAAAAAGTGTTTTTTTTTTTTAAGTTAGTCTGCTTATCATCCCCATTCTGGAAAAAAAAAATTGCCATAGTTTGGAAATAATTATTTCAGGATGTCCTTGAAGTTTGTCTTTGTGCACATGCTGGTGCGGGTTCATGTCCATAGGTGAATGAAGAGAGATTGTCACTGGTGATCAGTATCTAGGCTGTTCTCAGAGTGGGTGGTAATTAAATAGCAATCTTAGTGAGTGTCTCAGGCTGCCTTGTAAATATGGCTTGGCTTGGCTTTAGAGATGGGGAAACTGAGGCCCAAGTATTGGGACAAATGATTGGGAAGGGATGGTTTAGGCACAACCCCTGTTCCCACACTCCATCCCATTTCTCATCAAGCCTTCCTTGGTCCTTGTTCTAGCCTTTTCTTTTTTTTTTAATTGAGTATTCAAAATGCTGGTTTATGTTGCTTGGAAATTTTTCATAGGCTTTTAAAGCCACCTTATAGACAGCTGTTGCCTTGGCTGTGCCTGAAGCCCAGTGTTAAACAGGCAGAAAATGTGGCTTAGGGAGGTGTTTAGCAGTGGGTTGTGCTCACTGGGATTATAATGCCTGAACCTCTTCTAAAGACAGTAGGGGTGGAAGGAAAGATGTTAAACATTTGGGCATGTTGTGTTTCTAGTCTTAGAACATAAAGGTGTGTCTGTGTAGCAAAAATTTTGTGGAGCCAGTGCTGTTTGTACTTTTCAAGTAAAAGAAAACAGTCTTAAATCCGTACAACTGCCATGTTAGTTGTTCTGCCCGTGGGAGCAGCAAAATACTCTTCCATTGCTACTTTGATAGTCCAAATACAGCTGATACAGACTGCTATGCTCTGATTTTTAGAAGTGCTTCTATTTATTTTTTTTTTTTTAAAACCTAAACATATTGGACTACTGCAAGCGAAGGTGCTCCATCAGTAGCAAACTCTTACAGAGGTTAAAGCACTTCTGTATTTTCACTCAAAATTAGCAAACACTTTGCTGTTACCACTGCTTTTCAGAACTGCAGTACACCTCTGCACTGCTATGAGGGCTGGTTTGAGGAGAATTAATAATGAGAATCTAGTAATTCACTAAATTATAAAGATGATGCTCTGTTTCTATGTGTTTGAGAGGCATTGGTTTCAATCATTACATAGGACAGTCTAGTTTATAGAACTGTGTTTGGGAAGGCTTAGGAGGAAAGGCTGCAGAGAGCAAAACTTGAACTCTGGGTCAAATGGAGAGACAGCCCTCTAGAGCTGTAATCAGAGGTACTAAAGAGTGCAGCTTTGATAATGAAGTGAGTCGTTCATAGAAAGTGGAAGCACATGCAGAGGCTAATTTTCTTGATTGCCTTAATCACCTCGGTTTAGTTTAAAATTTTGAAATGATAAATACGAGACACCTTTCCCACATCTCAAGTGGGAACTGGGGAGCTGTTGGTGTCAAGGGAAGAAGAAGGGAATATGGTAGGATGAGACAGTGGTGGCACTTAAGGACATGGTTTAGCAGTGGACTTGGCAGTGTTAGGTTAATGGTTGGATTTGGTGATCTTAAGGGTCTTTTCCAACCAACCTAAATGGTTCTACGATTCTATGAGAAGAGCGAGATGAACTGCTTTAGAAGTGTCTTTGTTGATGGCTGTGTCTTCCCAGGACAGCTGAGCTGCTAGAGTGGTCTGTACCTGCTGCCTTCTCTCCAGACATATGCTGGAAGCTGCTGTGGCCTTCTTCAGGAGCAGGACTTTCTATCCACCCTCGGGGTGTAAAGCCACAAACACGGTGACTGGCCTTGTAAACAGGAGAGTGCCAGGAGAGGATTTTCATTGTATTCATGCCCAAGATTGTCTAAGCTCAGATTCCAATGCAGCCTTTCAACTTCATGGTGCTGCTTTCAGACTTCACTTTCTTGTGTAATACCTTGAAATACTTTAGCCCTTGGGCTTCTCATTTCATGTCTCAGCTTCAAGAAAATCAGAACAGATTGCTTTCCTGATTAGGTGAAATTATCTCTTCATCCTGCCTCCACGGGAACCAGATTACAATGGCAAAGGAAGGTCAACGTGATAGTGGGAAAACTTAACTTTTTAAAGAGACAAGGTTTATGTGATTGCAGCATCTCTGTGCTGCTTCTCCCCGTGTGAATTCGAAATGTAATTCAGGCCGCATTTCGTGGAGAAGTTGATGTTTCGCAGGTACCAGGCCCCTCCAATTACAGGAAAATTAGAGCTGGGGGATGAAAGGCATTTAAATGGGTGTTCCCCCCGGGGCCAGCCTGCACCGTGGGCTGGGGAGATACCTGTCCTGCTGGCTGCTGTTTGACCAGTTAGCACTGGTGGTGCTGGCCCAGCTGCCAGCGTGGGCATGGAGCAGGCAGCCCAGCAGCTGCCGGTGGTAGCCCAGCACTTGTTGGCAACCTGTGGGAGGAACCAGTTACAAGGGAGCAGGTCAGCAGGCACGGGAGGTGGAAACTCAAGCTGTCACTGGAGTGGGCTCATGGAGGGTGTGTGGGGTGGGACGGGAGCTTGATTCTCCTGGGGACAGAAAGGAGGTGATGGAAGAAAATGCTAAATAATGGAGTGAGAAATGCTAAAAGTTGGAAGACTGCGTCTGTGCGTCCTCACTTCTCCAGCCTGCTCTGCCTGGGCACTCTGGAAATACTAACGATTTCGTGATTGCAAACGGGTGGGAGGGATCTGATCTTCTGAGGAGCTGTAACTGACCTCAAAGCTTCTCTGTGGCCAGCAATTTAAAAAATAAGCTAATTGTGGTTTTATGAGTCCACTTGTAGGGCTATGAGAAGTTGCATGTGTGGAACTAGAGGTAGAGAAACGAAGCAGCTAATCAAAAGCAAGTATTTTCAGGAACGTCACCTCACCAGCGGCGCAGGGCCAGGGACCTCCTGCTCTCCTGGGCTACTGCTCTGAGTGCCGCGGGGAAGGAGCAACGCCTGACCCAAGTCCTCCAGCACTCTGGGCAAGCAGCACGGCTCGTTAGGTGAGCCACACAGACATTAATCGCCCTGTGGGGAGGCATAATAATAGGGTTATGCAAAACTGTCTGCGTACATTAATATTTACGTCTGATCCGTGAACAAGTCTTCCTGGGGTGCCTGTCTGCAAACTGGTGGTTACAGCGGACCAGGTTACTATAGGACTTTACGTTGTGTCCTATGTTTGCAACTGCTTCAGTCACCTCTACAAATCCATTTTCCTCATTTAAATGTTCCTACTTTAAAACTGCTGATTTTCAGCCTGGCTGGGTGCAGAAACTCTTCTTTTATTCTTGCCAAATGGGAGCCGTCGTGTCGAAAAGCCCTTCTCAAACGCACTCTGAGCCTCTGCGAGTATTAATTTGAGACCATCAAAGAGAAACAGGAGGCTTAAGCAGGAGGATGCTGACACAAGGTGAATTTCCAACATCCAGAAGCATTTGGTACTGCTTTTGTCAAGTGCAAAGATCTCAGCTGTCCAAGCAAAAGCATTTTTAGATTTAAAGAAATTAAGCTATTTTTATAGGAAATCCCTCCCGCTCTCATGCCTGATGGGCACTAAGTCCTGAACGCTCCCTTTCATGTAGCTGTGCATCGATAGTTATCTCCTCCTTCTGGTTGGAATTGTGGCAGCTAAAGCACTTTTTCTTATAATAGGGTGAATCAGTAATAGTCTAAGATTTAAAATTAGACTGTCAAAACGTAGTAGTATTCTTTAGCATATATAGTGTGTTTGAGAGTTTGTGTAGCTCTTAAAACAGTTTTAGTGGATGTCTGATGCTACTCATTAAAAATTTTGGAAATTCCATGAATAAAGTACTTGCATGAGAGCTGTATATATAAAATTGTTTTTCAGTTACCATTTATATGTACAGTTTTGGACAGATGGGAACATGTTGAAGCAATGCAAATTTTAGAGTTTAGCGGCAGTATTTTCCTTCTAGTATTAATTTAAAGCAAAACCTGCAGAAATGGTTGGTACAGCTTAGACCACACAGTCTTTTCCCCAGTATCCCTTTAAGGAGCGAAGAGATTTCTTCAGTGCATATTGTATAGGTTCAAAAATGTTTGCCCTGGGCCCCGCGGAAGGGGCTGCAGTAAAGGCTGTGGGGGTGAAGCTTCATTCTGGTCTCTCTTAACTCTTGAAAGTGTAACTTCAGATTTCTTCTGAGTGTAGTTCTTGTGATTTCTTTTATCGCTGTTGCTCCCGTGGAAGGTGTGCCCCTCTGGTGAGGAGAGAGCATCAGGTGGAATGAAACTGGAGCGTTAGTCTGATCCTCAAGGGAAGGCTTGTAAAATACCTTTAAAAGATGTATGTTTTTATTTTCTGTATGCTAAAACCATGGGCTCAATAGAGAAACTGGTTTAAAGGCGAATAGGTGTTTTCTTTTAATTTGCCTGGTTACCCAGGCTCTGATGACCCTTTCTCTCATGAGAGAGACTATGGTGTCACCCTCTTACCACGCTGGCGCTCCTCTGCTCCGTTAAACTAATTGCTATTAGTTTACTAATAGCAGACCAAGGGAGAGCGTGCCCGGCCTCTGCTTAAGGCGAGCTCTTCTGCGCTTTATTATTCTCCCTAAAGGGGACTGCGAACCTTAAATCGTGCCAGGATTTGGTCTCCCCGCCCCCCCTAACCGTATGAACGTTGGGGTTTTTTTTAGGGGTGAAATGTGTCCGGAGGACTCGGGCTGGGCAGTTTTCAGCCGCCAGATGGCGATGTCCCCCCGCCCCGCCGCCGCTCCCGGCCCTGCCACCGCCCCCCCCACGGCTCCCACTGAAAACTCCGCATTTATGGATCGTATTTTTGGTGCCGTAATATATTTGGATATTTGAGGGAGTTGTGCGTCTCTTGCTTATAGTCACGAAACTATTAATTTTGTTTACTGGGAGATGCGGTTGTTTCCAGTAATGCCTTATAGGGCAGTTAGTGAAGATGGTGTCTATATATTGTTTTCATCGTCCTGGGGGGTCTTCAGGCTGCTCTTGGGTGCTAAGAGAAAAGTGACCCAGTAGTTGGGGATTTATTTAAAGAAATTCATAATGCATGTGGCTGTCCCTTGGATGAAGGTACGTAGGTCTGACCTGGGGCTTTTTTTTGTGGGTGGAATTGCAGAATTCAGCAGAGTTGATCTAGGAGATCTGATTTCTTACAACTCCAAGTATAAACTTGTTTTCCCCGACTTTTTTTCATTTCTTTATTTGAGGAGAGCACTATCCCGTGCAGCTCGCTCTCTCATTTTCCAATAGACTGTCTTGGAAGTGGCAGCAGACAAGGACCAGTGTGGTTCCCATGGGAAGGGGATGTTGGGAGTTGTGTCCGCCCGCTCTGAGGCGATGCTCATGGGCAGTTCCTGTTACTGAAAGACACGTAGGAATTAATTACTGTCTTCGGGGCTTGGTAGCACCATAGCTAGAATCCATCTGATGGACTGGTCCTATACCCTGGAGCAGACTCGTGAAGAAGAAGGGGTGGGGAGAAGATGCTTGAGAAATAATTGCTCAGGCCAACAACGCTGTTTCCGTAGCTATTGAAGGTACTTGTGGTTTGATTCCTCCCAGCCATGTTTGTTCCTGCCTGATTCAGCAGCAGAGTGGAAATTTTGTTTCTTCATTTCCTAATTATTATTTATTGCTGGCAGCAAATATTAATTGAAAAAATAAACAGTGATTGCACTAAAGAGGAGACAACTAGAAGGAAAAAAATTCTTGGCAAATACTTGTAGTAAGAGGGGAAAAATATGAAAAATCAATGAAACTATAAAATTCAGAATAAGTGATGCTGTTTTTTATTACCGAGCCTTCCCTTTTGTGTCCAGAGTGGGTAAATTATGCCATGTAGGATCTATTTATGTCTGAATTCACCCACACATTCAGCTTTGTGTGGAAGGGACGCAACTTCTTCACAGGCTGTGGCTACTGCATTGAGTGCCTTGTAATTTGAGGCGTGCTGCCTGAAAATCAAGCTCAACTTTCAGGGATCTCCTGAGTCACTTCTGAAAACTCAGAAATTAGTCAACTCTGAAGTTTTTGATGGTGATGGTGTAAGTCGTGTTGACTGCATTTCAGCTCTTCTTCATTTGTGCAAGCAAGACAGGAGTGAAAATGCACAGCACTGAGAAAAGAAGCTTTTATTCTCCTGTGGCTTGCTTTCCCTTCTCAGTTCCTATCAGGCTTTTCTTACTCTGTAAGAGAAGTGTCATTTCTAATCCCTCCCTGCTCCCCCTCCAGGTTGTAGCCTCTAGAGCAAGTGAGATCTGACTGGGGAGCAGTAATGCTCTTCTGTTTGCTTACAGCTCACTTATAAAAAACATTAGTTTTCTTTTGAAACCACACCCTTTGTCCTGACCCAGCTGCTCTGACTCTACTCTCCTTGCAAGCCAGCACTGTCATCACTTGCTGGCCACTTCCAGCCCACCTTCTCTTCAGAGAACCTGAAGATGTGCTGTGAAACACAAATCATCCCAGCTGTGTCCATCAGAGCTGATTCTAGTGACATGTTCTCAAGGAAAAATGTTTTCTTTTGCATATAGCAAGAAACAAGCTTTTCTGCGCACAAGTTGCTCAACACAGGGATTTTTTTGCTATGGCTTTCTGAGATATCTATGATTTTTTTACGGGTAGAAAGTCAACAGAACAGAAAGCTAACATGCAAAGAAATCCTCAATTTTTTCAGTTAGGCTTTTTTATTTTAACCAATAGTTTCACAAGTGCTTAAACTTCCCTGGCAGTTTAATCTGGAACATAGTTGAGAAGAAAAATATCTTCTATACCTTTACAAAAATAAAAAGTTTTTTTTTTTTAAATCCTGCACTTTAAGCAAGCACACTCCAACTCAAGCAAGACAGACATTGTATCTTAAAATACGGACTTCTCTTCATAAAAATGACATTCTACCCCAGGGCAGCAGGCACAATATGTAAACGGTATAGAAACAGAGTGAGGGCACTTCTTTTGATTTTTCTGATCCCTTTTGTCCTTTTTCTTAACAGAACCTGTTAAAACGACTTGCACAAGATCTCCTTCAGGTAACCATTTCTTCTATCTGGTGGTTTCTCGAGTAGGATACAACAGTGGTGCTGAGGGAAAAACTTTCAACCTGTCATGGCAACATTGGCAGGTATTGAAGGTACCAACATTCATTGCTTCACTTCTCAAAACTTTGGCACTTCAGTATGGGATAAATTACTCGGTTTGTAGGACTTCCACTGCTAAACCACTTGTGGCTTAATTTCTTTAGCAGCCAGGGCTGCCAGCACATGAGGTCAGGTTGGAGAAATAAAATGAATGGAATATATTGTGTCACAAATGTATATGGTGCTGTGCAGCAGTTAATGTAGTGCGTGATGAAACTAAAATCAAGCTTAGCTCCTAGTTCTGTGCCTGTAACCTAGGAGAAGTCTTGCAGAGAACATGGATAGGCAAATAAACTATGCACTCTGAAGACTTACTTATATCTTTGTCCAACTTAGCTTCTATTGGCTAATAGAAAAATAAAGAAAAAATATATAGGCACAAGGAGGGAACTGCTGCAGCATATGCAGATCATAATTTTATGTTTCTGGTCAACGCTACAAATAAACTAGAGGAGCCCCAAATCAGGTTTCTGGCCATGCATTATGAAGGCCTTTTTCCAGCAGTTCCTTTTTAACTATCTCTAGGTGGCAGAAAAAAAAAAATATGCAGTTCTTATATAATTTGTACATTGTGTCTTGTTTGCATGTAAGTGTAACAGCAAGCTTTGGAAAACCTAGATCTTTGCAAGTCTGAGATTCAGAAGACAGCTGAGACATAAATGTGCTTTTTAGAGGTGAGGACTGGGCAGGTCTTTCTCTTGAAACTGTTGTAATGTTTCTGACAGGCAATTTACAGAGGAGCCACGAAGCACTAATAAATTGTAGATCATTGCCCTGGTGAGTACAGAACACCATGCTGTGGAGCAGTTCTTTTGCTTTCTGCTTCAGTCCTGCATCACAGATTTCAGCTGGGACTGAGTTGTGTGTTGCACCTCCGTAGGGAAGGAAGAGGGTCTGAGAGCTTCTAGCCGTTGATATTTTTCCAGAGATGGGACCACCACCTAATGTGGGAATAGTAGGTGGTGGGGAAAGAAGCTTGTCTTGTGTGATCTAAGGAACATCACACCATTCCCATCCTCAGAAATAAAAACTAACACGCATTCACTCATGCTGCTAGGTCTCAAACAGAAGTCAGAAATGAAGGTAGTATTTAAGGGACTTTTTGGATGGCAATAGCTCAGGAACTCAGTTGGAGATATGCTGAATACAAAACTCAAGTCTAGCTAGAGAAAACCAAACTCCATCCAGGTTCCTAGCCTCTCTTTCAGAGGCATTATGTCTCCTTGACCCTCTAGTTAAAACTGTGTTCCTGATGCCTCCCTACCAGCAATGGATCCCAAACTGACTCTTCAAGTTGGTTTGACTCTGTGGAGCAGAAAATCACCAAGAAATGCTGATCAGAGCAGCTGTTGTTCTTAGGGCTCGATTCATCATGGTGAGTTGGCTTTCAGCTCCTTCCAGCAGGCTGAAGGAGGATCTGGTATCAGATGGATGGATGAACACTTTCTCAGGTGATTACTGAGCCAGCCTGAGCTCTGTTCCTGACTCTTAGTGAGTCTTCTGTGACTTTTCATCTGTCTGAGGAAAAAAACATGAAAGATGCCATCTGACCTGGCAGTGAGAGTCTATGGTTGTTCCTTCCCCCCCTTCCTTCTGCTGTCTCAAAACCAGGCAATGAAGCGTTTTTTTTCCCACTCTGAGGAAATTTGCATCCAAGGCCAACACTAGCTTGGAAGAACTGTCAGGAAGGCATGGACTTTGAAGAGGTAGGGAGCCTGAGCATAGCCATTTGCTACTTGAACACCTTTTTCCTGCTATTTTTTCTAGTGAGGTCCATGCTATTACTGTGTTTTCAAATAATGCTTTTTCTACAGCACATAGTGTGGAGACTCACCTATGTAAAGCTGAAGGACCTTCATTCAAGACATGCTTTTCCTATGATGCTGAAAAGAACACATTAAAGGCCTTTTTTCTCACATAGTACTGGACTAGGCAGCTAGAAGCGGCTGATGCTGATGAAGAAACGCTATGACCTTACTCCTTCTGTTTCTTAGATAGGTTCCTGTTCCTCCTGTGGGCCAAAATGTGTGTGCGTATCAGTAAAGGCCACAGCCCGAATGCTGCAAGGTTAAGCTGTGCCCTCAGTTCACTCCCCATTAAAGCGAGGGAGTGTGGTTCATCCATGAACTTGTACCTCCTTGCTGGCCTTAAATCTCTCTCCTGCTGCCCCTCCAGAGCCTGTGCTGATTCACATCAGTGTGCACAGCAGGATGTACTTGCCGTGGGGGAACTCCAGGGCTTCCAGGGCAGGCTCCTGTTGAAGAATGCTCTCTGAGGGCTGTGCCTATCCACCTTCTCTCCCCGGACCAATGCTGATGCAAGCTGGGTGAAACCATGGTATCTGTTGGGACAGTCCAGTGAGAAGAAAAGGGGGGAGGACATGGCTGCATTTGTGCAACTCTTGCTCCTCTCTGGTGGGACTGGGCCAGTCTCACTCCATCCCGTGGATGTGGGTTTGTCTCCAGTTGCTTTCTGGCTCTCTGAACTGCAAGCAGTCCTGGGGGCCATGGCGTGCTTGCTGCTACAACCCTTTACTTGTTCCTACATGAGGTCACATCACTAAAAATATGCTGCTAAATAGGGCTGCAGAACATGTTACAGCCCACTTGCTTCTTTACTTTGCCCACCTGGCTGACACAAAATCCAAGGCACAAATACTGCAGGTGGAGTATGTAAGGCCTCAGGAATTTGAGAACAGAAGTCCCTGCAGCCTCGTATTGACAACTTAACCTCTACTGTGTGCAGCCAACAGAAAAAACTGCTTCTGTCTGGCTTTAAGGGGGCTTGGTTGTAACTACTCACTAGATACAAAGGGAGGCCTCGAAGCAATGACATAGCTAAGGAAATTGAATGAGAAAATATTAAATCACTGGTTATTTTTACAACTTAATGATTGTAAAAATAGCTTAAATTACTTGGAATATTTTTTAATTAGAAGTACCAACCCTTTAGCACTATCTGACTGGAGGCCTTTTGATTTGCTGTTCCTTTTTGTTACGAGCTGTGAGATAATGACAAGATAAATCTTTGTGGGTTTCCTCCTTATATACATATCTACATCAGAGCTGTGAAGTCAGAGGGAGAAGCTGCTATCACAGTACTGGCACGACACCGAACCCTTCCCCAGAGCTAAATTCTGATGAGAAACTGGGCGTTGGGGAGAAGAGTACCACAACGGCAAGGCGGCAGAGGCGACCGAAGCAGGATCATAACGTTCACCCCAGCAGTTAAAAAATAATAATAAAAGGAGACCCCCTCCCTCCCCCCAAAAGTCTGCAGTCCTAAAGTGCAATTACTTTTGTGCAGTCATGTCAGGCCAGGGATCACACTGGATGAAGTTCAAAGCACAAACATCAAACGAGTGCCGTTTGGGACTCGAGGAGGAGGGGGGGAAGTAAGGAAAAGAACAACAGTTCTCAGGCATTCAAGTGCATCAAGAAAATAAATGTCCCTTTCTTTCAGAAGAAAAACAACCCCCAGTCTGGTGGAATCCTGGCTTTGTAGTCATGAAAAATAAGTTTTTTTCACTTCTAGCTGAGAATGTCCCAATATGACACAGTACAAATAAACAACACCAAAGCAAGAGCTGGGGCGCTGGGATATTTTTCCGGTGCCCTGCTGCTATACAGCCTTATTTTATTCTCCTCTGGTGACTCTTCAGATCTGGGTACGGACGAAGCGCACTGAATTAAAGGCATCTGGTAGGAAGTGGCTCTCTTCTCCGGTCGGTCGGGGCTGGACCCGTCGCTTGGTCTCTGGCCGTTGTACAGCAAGTACCTGCCCCGGGCATCCTGTTCCATTTTGAAGATTTCGTACTCGGTGTGAGGTAGGCGGATGCCGAGCGCGATGCAGCCGTTCGTGTGGGTGACATCTTGCTGAACCCCAACTTGCCAGGACCCCTGTGCTCCGCACTCATTCCCGTTGAAGACGTTGAGGAGAGAGGCTGTGGATATATCCATGGGAGTCACCTTCATGTGATTCACTGCCAGAGAGGAAGAGAGGAGAAGCAATTAGCAGAGGGACAAAAACAAAAGCAAAGACAACATGTGGATTGGGGTGTACCTGTCAAATCAGAGTTGTCTCTCCTTGCTTATTCTTAAATCAAATTTTTATATTGCAGATGTGGCCAGCAAATGTATTTGCATCGTTTTACGTCTTTGATGTAATTACTTCTCACACAGAACACACACACACAAACTCCGTTGAAGAAAACCTGATGGCCACATATCTCAGCCAGAGATTAAGCAGAGCTTTTCATAAATTCCAGACAATCCTTTACAGATAAAGCCAAGTTGGTTATATTAGGAGATAGGCAAAAGAGGAAACAATAAAACTGCAGTCATGTTTTACTACCATCCATTTAATCCATAAGTAGGACTATTTATAGTGTATTTTTCATCATTTTTTTAACACACTACACTGTAACGCTAATGAAATAATTAGTTCCAATTGAAAAATTTCTGAAGTGCCACAGCTGCACTATCTTCCTATATTACCTTTCCTTTTTTGCATGAATTATAAAGTATTGCCGAACCACAGAAAGATCCTTTTTCTTACATCTAAACAGTGGCTGCAGCTTGCAGTGTCAAATGTAGAAATGCTGCAGTTTCTTCAGTTCCAAGTTGCCTGTATTTCAAATGAGTTTAAGGCACATAAAGTATTTTTTTTCAGCTGAGTTTAAAAAGTTGGGAAAAGCCAAATTGAATGAGCCTGTGGAAGCTGAATAGAGATTTTTCCTGGTACGTGTTTGACACTGTATATCAAGAAAAGGGGCTCTGAATAGATCAATGCTGACCAAAACAGAAGCAAATAGCCAGCCCTCATGCCTCCTGACACACCCAAATCCCAAATACTCTTGCAGATCATTAACAACGTGTATGTCTTTTCATAGTAAGAATTTGCTGGGAATTTTATTCTCAGATTTTATAAACAGATACTCGATTCAATGGCTCTACATTCACGTTATTTGTTCTAACTGGTATAAAAGGTAATCTATAGAAAGTGAACCTACAAGTTTTACCAAAACCAAATGAGTGACCTTGATCTGTGACGTAAGCTGTGAATCATAGAATAGTTTGGGTTGGAAGAGACCTTTAAAGGTCATCTAGTTCCAACCCCCCTGCAATGAGCAGGGGCATCTTCAACTAGATGAGGTTGCTCAGAGCCCCATCAGGGGCAACATCCAACCTGACCTTGAATGCTTCCAGTGAAGTTGGCATACCATAAACCAGAAATTAAGCAAAAACTGAATTTCACCCCAGGAGCTCTGCTGGGACATGCTGCATGCAGCTGTAAAGAATAAATGCTCTGAGGGGCAAGGGTATCTCCTGCCTCTTATGAAAATCCCGGATTAGTAAATTATTTCTTATAGTTAGATGCCTTCCTAAATTGGAGCCATACAAGAAGCTATATACTTCTCACATGGAAACTGAAATAAGAAGAGCCCACAGAGTGCTTGGGGCTTCCAGAGGCTCTGCTGGGGTTGGCGCCATGGCGAGACGTCATGTTTTGGAGATGTCTGTTTGTGTGAGTGGTTAAAGCCACTGAGCTCTTTCTAAGCAGGGTGCTACGGGGCTGTTTGCACGGAAAGGCTTCTCAGCCGCAGGGACCCGGGTGGTGTCACCACTGAGTGCTGCTTCCCAAAGTACTCGAGAGGTTTCGGTTAGATACATCTAGTCTTCACTGCGGTGGGATTAATCAGAACTGTCTTTAGAGACATCCTTACTTGCTTTAGGGCCCCTTGGAAGGTGATGAAAAGACACATGTTGCTACGTCTGTCTTCAACAGAAGATGATTATAGCACTTCTGACCTGAAATGCCTTCTGAAGGTGCTTTTTTCTCTCTGCTGAAGGAGCCCTAGGACACAGATCTAATCTAAGGCACTTTGCTTAGACACTTGAAGTCTGGCCACTGGACTCCAATGTGAAATCTTATTTTCTTGTGCTATGCTTAACAGATCCCTGCCTCAAACGAGTATTGCTTCAGTGGTGTGCAATGCTGTGCAGCTGTATAGTTTGGCTGGGCATTCACACAACACCAGCGAACTTCCCAAGAAATGACTAACCCCTGAAAACGACAGAAGGAAATCAGCAGCAGCCAAATGGTTGTGAGCGAACCCTGCTCTGGTCCATAACTATGTGACCACCTCCACCCCCCAGCGCAGTGAGCCACTCTACCTTTGAACACAAACTCCGTGCCGCCCATCACTTTGGACGAGTGCACCCCCCGGCTGTAGCGTCCCTTGGCGTAGATGGTGAAGGTGGGGTGCTTGCAGATGGGGTCCGAGTAGTGGTAGTAGTGACCTTCCCAGGTGTTGTTGTTGTCGTGGAAGATGAAGTGGCGAGTGAGGAAGAGGACCTCCGGCCGCACCTCGCAGCGCTGGCTCACCCACTCTCCGTGTAGCCCTATAGTCAGATCCGCCTTGGGGGGTAGGATGGGAGGATGGTGCTCGTCCGACCGGTAGATGATTCTGCACGCGATGCACGTGCGGTCGTGATTCTGAAATTAAGCAGAGAGAAAGCCTCGTGAGGTATTATCTGTGACAGAGGCAATGAATCAGGCCATCCGTTTCATGTTGAAGTGACACCAGCTCAGTGTTTTAAGGAAAATGTTGTTATTTCTTATCTTTTTAATGTTCTCCTGCAGATTCTCACCCTTCAAAGCACCTGAAATATGGCACCATTTGGTTTTGCACGTATAAGACTGCACAGCAGGAGCGGAGTTAGATTAATTCCCTCATCTGCATTTCTCTGAAATTAACAGTTCAGCTTTTTATTGGATCTAGGAAAGGCTGACTTTATCCTTCAAATCATACAAGAAGCTGGCAGATGGTAATTTACTATGGTAAAAAAAAAATACTAGGGACTTGGCAACTCTTGGGTTAGAAATTTGCTGAGCTCTTATTTTGCATCTGTCTTCTTTTTAGTCATTAACTTTGGGTACCATAGATGGGCATGGGTGTCCTAAGCACGTTTTTCAGTTGGGTAGCAGCCTGGGAGAATAGTAACCAGCAATTTTACACTATTTCAGCTTTTCTGAGCCCTAATGCGAGGTTGTGAAGTGTATGACATGGCCTGCTGGTGCAGGACAGGGTGAAAACTTTATGCCCCTCTCCATGGGGAAGGTGGTCCCTGGTGCCCGCTGGGCTCCACGGCAGCTCACCGCTGTGAGCCAAGCACCAGCCTCAAGCAGCCCCGTCCGTGAGGCCTGAGGTTGTCTTACAAGGGGTGTGCAAGCTCCGAGTTGGTGGCAGGAGGGGAGGGAACTTCACGCTGAGGCTTCCACCCCCTGACATCAGAGACTGAAACTAGAGACACCTGTATGTTGTTCCTAGGGCTAACTGTTTCCACCTCTGCAAGGATTTCTCTTGTTGGCAAAAGAGTTTGGCCTAGCTATTCTCCTTTCAAACCCTATTTTGCATTTTTTCAATGACAAGACAGACAGCAGCATTAGCATTTGTCTCTGCTCTGTTAAACCTTGAAGTAAATTTTATGGACTGAAAAGGAATACAAAACTAATGTTTTAGCTCACTACATTGATGACAAGTAATTAGATCAAGAAGAATAAATGCCACCCCACAAGATAAAAGCAGTGTTTTCCATTTTTCTGGTGCTGTTTGGGGTTGGTGATGTGCTATTTGTTCACATCTCGGGACATGATCGTAGAGGCTTTCTAGTTGGCTGGTGACATGCAGAGGGGCAGAGTTGGGAGCTGTAAGCAGGATTATACTCCTGAGTGAAAGGCAAAGACCACACAGACAGCTTGTGCCTTCATCTTTCAAGGCCACTCAATCCCTCCTGGAGAGAGGGGGACGCGCTGGGTGGGGGGTTACTCACATTCTCCTTGTTGGGGCTGCAAGGTGTTTTCCTGAGGTGCAATTCAGAGTGCACCGTGTTAAGAGCTGAAGCTCCCTACGCAGCCATCGGGGAGAGAGATTTATGCAAATACTTCTTCTTTGCACCCCTTTCCAGCCCTCTTTTCTGAGATCTCTCTGAGCTCCCTCTGTAGCGTAAACGTTCATACTCATGTCTTATACTTTAAAGTCCATGTGAGCTGCTATGGAGTCAGCATTTCTCCACTCACTGCCTTCAGCTTGTGGCATGCTTTAGGGGTAACACTTCCCCAACCTTCATTAGTGCCCTGAGTTTCTCTGATAATACAACTGCTTCAGAGAACCAACATACAACTCTCACAATATATCCCTTTTATGCATATTAATCAGGGTTTATATTTGTCCCCCAGACCAGATAAGAGGCCAAAAGTTAATGAAGTCAATGAAACGTCTGCTGTTCTACATCCCTGGGATGGAGAACAATGGTCTATGTGCAAATGATGTAGCTCAGGTTGATCTGAATGAGTGTTGGCTAACAGCCCTACTTTGAGGAGGAAGGAGGTTGGACTTGGTGGCCTCCAGAGGTCTTTCCACCCTAAAACACATGGTCTTCTGGGAACCACGTGCTAGTATGCTATTAAAATGGATGCTGTTCTTTCCCACTGTTGAGCTTGTTAACTAATTTTGAGATACATTTTTCAGCTAAATTCTGCAAGCAGGTGCAAGGGCAATTAGTATCTTAGTGAAAATACAAAGAGTGTTTAATTGCGTAATTTACCTGCAACTGGTGAAGTTAGCACAGATTTGTGCCATAGTAGCTGACAGCAGAGGCTAGTGCAAAACATCTGGTTCTCCTGAACACTGAAAGCACATATAACACATGAAGACTGTGAAACTGAGCCGTTTTCTGAAATGGCAAGTTTCAGTTTGGATTTTCAGATAGTCAAGAGAGGAATCAAGACCCATTTATGTTTCCTATTTTGCTCTAGATTTCTTGTGTGACCTTCCTGTGTGACTTAACCTTACTTCATAGAAACACAGGCAATTACAGCTCTTCTGTTTGGGAGCAGACTGATAGGAGGCTAAATATCAATACTGAGCTGTCAGAAAGCAGACAGAAATTTCAGAGACCTGGATATGATTAAAAATAAAATAATAATAATTACTATTAAAAATGAGTGTAGTTCTATTCCTAGAATGAACCTTCAAATACAATCTGACAGAAATCCAGTGTCCACCTTCATCTTGCCTGCAATAAAATCTCAGCAGATTTCATCTGCAAAGCTTGTTTGGGACTTACGAAACCGGTCTGTTGAATCCCTAGCTCTCTTCAGAGAACATCAGTCATTTTCTCTGGAAAGCGGTCTGGTTTACTGGGTGGTTTGCAGCTCAGGATTGCTAGGGGGCAGATGACATAAGTGGCTAGGAAACAAGTTGATGCTGGGGAAAGGTGGAGACTGCCTTGGCAGGCCTTGGGCAGTAGCAGAGCTGCCCCATTTTCCTTGAGCTCCAGCTGTGAATGGGGATGGCAGATGCTGAGCGTCTGCCCTGCCCCAGGCAGCGCTGCTGGTACTGCAAGAAAACTGTTGGATGAGATGGGCAATTCCATTCACTGCCAACCAAAGCACCAAAGAAACACACACTGTTGAAATGTAAGTCAAGGCTCTGATGCTGGGCAGGGAGTATTATCATTGTCTGATGTCTTCTCCATCATACTTGGGGTGTAGTCGGTACAGCCTGGTACATCTGTGGCTGCTTAGTCCCTTGGATGGAGCCAGCAGCAGAGCAGGTAGAAGAAGGTCCATGATGGAAAAAAATCATAACTACAAGCAGCCCCTTTTTCCTTATGAGGGGTGGGTACCTGTCTTCAGGCACAAGGAGGAGCTACTTCCCAAAATTTATAAACCTCATGCAGTGCGACTATGCAGGCTCTCATTAGATTGTGAGTGGAGGTGACTCCTTGGGCAAACTCAAGGAAGGTCCAGGTTAACTCACAGAAATCAAAGTGAAGTTTAGCAGTATAAACACTTGTCTGTAGCTCATCTGGCTCTTCGAACTCTGTGGACCATATCTTGGACTGCCGTAACTCTGTGCACCCCTTCTAACTCCGAAAGCTTTGCACCAGCTCTGAAGGTCTGGCCAGCTGCGCTTCTAAGACATGTCCACCCTGCCTGCCTTCTAGTTACTGACAGTGTGCCCAGATGAAGGGGTTGAGGTGACCGGGCACTTTTTTGGAACAAACAGGGAGTAGGACAGGGAGAGGTTGGTGCAGTGAGGAGGGAAGCAGAAGTATCCCTTTCACAGGCTGGCTCAGGCACCTCACACGGATGCATTGCTTCCCTGGGACCAGTCCTTGAATCTACTTAAACCTTCTTTGCTGTGATACTATCTTCAAAGAGTTATGAACTTCTCAGTGGAAGAAAATGCCACATGTAAACTCCCTCAGTACAATTTTTGTCCAAGTAATGGATGAGAGAGATATCTAGTTTTAATATGAGGCAATTGCACTTAATTATGGAGTAATTTATGTTTAACAATTGACTGTGTTTTTCACTGTTGCTTTTTCAGGTCAGCTGCTCTTGGCTCTTAATTACACTAGCTGAGGCTTTGCAAATCTCTCCCTTTCCGTGTGTGTCAGGGAAAGATTATTTTCTAAAAACAGACATTCAAAGAAAATAGGGAACAGAGGTAGAGGACATTCGAGTCCAAACACAATTAAGTACTCTAATAAAAAGCTCATTTCGGCATGACAAACTAAAAAGCTATAAAATGATCAGCGGACAGGATGAACATCTGTTCTATGTGGATGAACATCTGTTCTATGTTTTGATTATCTTAGGTGTACAATGTACTAGTTTTAATAGTGGGATCTTCCTAAAAGGACCAGGCTCTGAAACAGCTGCTGCCCAATGACTGGAAGATCCCTTCCCGTCAAGATGTGGGGAAAGATGCCTCCCTGCAGCTCTGCAATGCCAAATCCATGGTGCCCCAACTCTTCACGCTCCTGTGTGTTGTTTTAAAGCCAGTTTCTGAATTAATCCATGAGGCCATGTGGGCTGAAATAAGCCTGAATTTCTGGCTGGAAACTCAGTTCTTGTACTCAGGGAGAAAATAATTTGTGATCTGAAAATTTCCACCAACATTTTTCCTTATCCCTCCCTCCTGCTGCCTCAGCTGAAGTGGTAAGAGGGCCAGAGAGCTCCGGAAGCCAAGCAGGGAGGTTTCTAATAAGAAAAGCAAACAAGGATGAGGTTCCTTGATCTTTTTCCCAATTGCTGTGGATAGTCAGAAACATAAACCTTCTCAGCATAGTTTAATTTTCTCTTAAGTTCTATGGGATTCTATGGCTGCTTAGGACTAATTTGCCTCTAATCAATTCATAGTGGTTTTTACAGCCCAGGCCAAAAAACTATCATGCAACTGGGATTCTCTGAGCAATTGTGAAGTGAGCTTTGACCAACATGTAGAAAGATCTTTTTGGAAGGTGTTCTAGTTTTCTTTGAACACCTTTGTATTCGATGCTGTTGTTACAGAGTAAGACATCTATGGACCAAACTCTTTTCAAAACCTACAGAAAATTTACCCTTTCCTTATGGTACAAGCAGAAGCTGAAATCAATGCTTAATATCAAGGAAAGGACCTTTGGGATGTGCTGCAAGTTGTCTTT